CAAGCGCCGCCAACCCCTGGGCTGGTTAACCCACCACGCCGAGGCAGAGCAGCGTGCTGCCGCGTCCGTGGGGCAGGATGAGAGCAGCTGTTGTGACAGCTCCTTTTAAACCAGCCTGATCTCTCCCGTTGCAGCGGCCTCAGCAAAGCCCGCTGGCATCACTCCCATCAGCCTCTCGCTGCCTGGGCTGGCAGACCCCGCCAAAAGCTCCTGGTGGTCCCAGCCCATGGCATCCCGGTTTCTCCTTCCTCGTTGCAGAACGTGCTGCTGCAGATGGGCCTCCACGTGCTGGCGGTGAACGGGATGCTGATCCCGCAGATCTCTCCCGTTGCAGCGGCCTCAGCAAAGCCCGCTGGCATCACTCCCATCAGCCTCTCGCTGCCTGGGCTGGCAGACCCCGCCAAAAGCTCCTGGTGGTCCCAGCCCATGGCATCCCGGTTTCTCCTTCCTCGTTGCAGAACGTGCTGCTGCAGATGGGCCTCCACGTGCTGGCGGTGAACGGGATGCTGATCCCGCAGGCCCGCCCTCGGCACGGCTGCGCAGCGCTTGCCAGGTGATGCTGCTCCACCGCCCAGCGAGCAGTCAGCCCCCTCTGTCCCCATCTTGCAGGACCACGTCGGACATGACGAAGGTTTTCTGTCCCCACTGCGGTAACAAGACCCTGAAGAAGGTCGCAGTGAGTGTCAGCGATGACGGGAGCCTCCACATGCATTTCTCCCGCAACCCCAAGGTGCTGAACCCGCGAGGGCTCAGGGTGAGTCGCTGTACGGGATCTGCTGGGCAGCCGCTGCGGGACAAGAGCCTGGCCTGGGGTCAGCTCTTCCTTTGCTCAGTTCTCCAGAGGCACGCGGCCATCTCCCAGTCCCCCCTGAGCAGGAGTCGCCCCCGAAGCGAGTTTAACAACCCCTTTTGTCTCGGCAGTACCCGCTGCCGGCCCCGAAGGGGGGGAAGCATGCGAACAACCCTCACCTGGTGGAAGACCAGCCCTTCCCGCAGCAGCGGCTGTCCCGCAAGGCCAGGCAGAAGACCAACATCTTCGACCCCGACTACATCGCCGGGGTCTCGCCCTTTGCGGAAAACGACATCTACAGCCGTGCGGCCAATCTGCAGATCCGGGACGCGGCCCTGGGCGCTGGCAGGAGGCGCCTGAACCCCAACGCTGCGACAAAGAAGTTTGTGAAGA